TCACTCTCCTCTCATTTGTCACCAGGACAGAAAAACAGGTTGTTCTGCATGAGGATGTTTGATACTTTAAATAAGCTTCTTCTGATTTCTCTGCCTCTCTGCTTTCTCAATCTCTCCCACCACACTTCAAGACATCGTCACTCCAAACGGCCTCAACGTGAAAAAGTTCTCTGCGGTGCACGAGTTTCAAAACCTCCACGCTCAGAGCAAGAACCGGATACAGGAGTTTGTGAGAGGACACTTCTACGGGTCAGAGACGTCACAACACACTGTCAGAACTTAAAAAGAAGGAAATGATGTTGTTTAAAAAAGACACAAATCAGAGACATACATTTCTAATTATGAATCCTGAATATGTTTACTAGCAAAATAACTTGTAATAGACTTTATTTTTTACTTTCAGGCACCTCGATTTCAACCTGGACAAGTGTCTGTTCCTCTTCATCGCTGGACGCTACGAGTTCTCCAACAAAGGAGCCGACCTTTTCCTGGAAGCTTTAGCCCGCCTCAACTATCTCCTCAGAGTGAGTGTGTTGTGTTGGTGTCGTCTCTTAACTGATGTGTACACAAGTTCATATGTTTATTCAGATTTCAGATTCAGATTTTTATATTGTCCTACAAGGGGAAATTTGTATTGCAACAGGAGCACACAGAAGACAAGAAACACAAGGACAACATCACCATAAAAACATAAACCAAAATGAATTAAAAAAAAATAATCAGACAACACAGCAAAATATAAAACCAAATAAAAACAACGCCATAAAATCAGTCAAGAGCCCATACCAGAATGGAAATTAAAGTTATTAAAGTGCAAAGTGGAGGTGTGCAAATGTGCAAGAAGGGCAACAAATGGCTAATTGTTGTTTAACATATTCATTGCACTTGGTAAAAATGAGACCTGGAGTCTTTTAGTTTTCCTCACAGGCGCTCTCTTATATTCACCTGTATGATCTACCTATTGCAGGTCAATAACAGCGACGTCACTGTTATTGCGTTCTTCATCATGCCAGCTCGGACGAACAACTTCAACGTGGAGACCTTGAAGGGACAAGCAGTCAGGAAGCAGCTCTGGTGAGGGTTCATGTTTAAAAATAAAGAAGAAGAAAGTCTCCAAACTTCAACAAAAAGGGACACATGGGATTTCTCTTTACAGCCAATCACTTCAGCTTCAGCTCAGAACGTATTCAAGAATGTTTATTCTCTTTCCTCTTGTCTCTGACAGGGATACCGCTCAGACCGTGAAGGAACGCTTCGGAAAGAAACTCTATGAGTCACTTTTAGTGTAAGTTCAACATTTTTAGTTTACCTCATGAAACCTGTAAGATGTGGAATAGAGTGAACCATATGGAAATGTTTGTCAGCAGAACTAGGTACTACAAAAAAGAAAAAGAAAAAACTTTCCCTGCATGTAATCCCCCCACTCTCTCTCTCCCCTGATTTCTAACTCTATCACTTGTCCTTTCACTACAAAAAAGGCATAAAAAGCCCAAAAGCAAAAACATTTTCCATCTCCATAATTCTGTACTTCAATAACTAAACCAGGCCATAGTTCAGTTTAAAAGTAGTTTGTTTGGAATAAGCTTAATGGTCGAGGTTAGGGGTGACAGCCGGGCCAAGGTGGGGAGGATGGGGGCGTATGGAGAAGTGAGATGAAGGGGTGAGGCAGTCTTACACATACAGGACGACACAGGTGATGGTATTAGGGAGGCACAGATGAAAGACCCGATGAGACAAAGGTGATTACATTTGTGAGAGAGAGGTTTAGTCCTGATCCTGACTTCATGTTACTTCATAAAATGTTAGAAGAATGACGTCCCAGCTGATCACATGTATCGTTCTCAACGTCTCATTTAAGTCTTAATCCATTTCTTTTTTTTTAGCGGGCAGCTTCCAGACGTGTCAAAGATCATGGACAAAGAGGACTTCACCCTCATGAAGCGCGCCATCTTTGCCACTCAGAGACAGTGTCAGCCTCCAGTCTGCACCCACAACATGCTGGAGGACAGCAGCGACCCCATCCTCAATTGTGTCCGCCGCATCGGCCTCTTCAACAGCTCGGCTGACCGCGTCAAGGTGACCGGCAGTCATCAGAAGTCCTTTTAATGCTTTAAGACGCAGAAAAGATTACCCACCTCCAACACAGATTTCTCTGTTCCTTTGTTTGGATTGTTGTTCAGCCGGAGTGTAGATAAGTTCACATGAAGGCAGCATATACCAGAACTTTAAACTTGATACGATACTAGTACAAATTTAACAATATCTATACCTGTTTTGATGCCATTGTAACAAGAAGAATCGAAGTCCTAGGCACACAATATTGGGAAATTGTGCAGAAGTTTGCAGGCTGGTGCTGCAGATTAATCGCACTGTTTGGTTGTCAACAATGTGTCCGGTGACCTGATACTGAATGGCTCTCCCTTCTCCAGATTATCTTCCATCCAGAGTTCCTTTCTTCCACCTCTCCTCTCCTTCCGATGGATTACGAGGAGTTTGTTCGGGGCTGTCACCTCGGGGTCTTCCCCTCTTACTACGAGCCGTGGGGCTACACTCCAGGTAGGACTCCTGGTGGATGAATGTATGTTTGCAGGGTTTTAATTTTTTTTTTTAATGAATAGTTAATCGGGCCTCTTTTGTTTCTATCTCTCTCTCAGCCGAGTGCACAGTCATGGGGATCCCATCCATCTCAACCAACCTGTCTGGCTTCGGCTGTTTCATGGAGGAGCACATCGCCGACCCCTCAGCATACGGTCGGTTTCTCTCAGTCTCTACAAGTTTGTCTCAAAAAAATAATAATTTTCCAAAGAATGCGTGATACCTTCTTACACATCATGCTGTTTTCTTCTTGCAGGTATCTACATCATGGACCGGCGGTTCCGAGGGGTGGACGAGTCGTGTAACCAGCTCACCTCCTTCCTGTTTCAGTTCTGTAAGCAGAGCCGGCGTCAGCGGATCATCCAGAGGAACCGGACTGAGCGTCTGAGTGACCTCTTGGACTGGAAATACCTCGGCAGGGTGAGATCCCCCGTTCCCAAACCAATCATTTTGTTTCCATGATCACTTTGAAAATGAGTGAGGTTTTTTTGGGGTTTTTTTCCCGCTCCAGTACTACGTATCAGCCCGTCACATGGCCCTGGCGAAGGCCTTCCCTGACACCTACATGTATGAACTCAATGAGCCCACCTCAGTGAGTAAATGTTATTTATGCAGATGTAAACATCTTAACACTTCAACTACAACATGATCGACACACTGATGCCTTTTGTTCCTTCTCCTCAGGCCTCTGGTTTCCGTTACCCTCGACCGGCTTCGGTGCCTCCATCTCCGGCTCTGTCCCGCCACTCGTCCCCCCACCACAGCGAGGGTGAGGAAGAAGAACGCTACGACGAGGATCTAGAAGCAGAGAAGGACCGTGTGAACATCCGACAGCCCTTCAAAAACAAGACCTCTGCTGTCCCTGCAGGCAACGGAAGCAGCGACGACGGAGAGAAAAACTGACACACACACACACACACACACACACAGTACAGGCTAAAACCTCACTAGTGAAACCTTCTCCCTGGCATTCATTTACATCACTCTTTGCAGCCGTGTGAGTTTGAGTGATACCTTTATTATCAGCTTGTTGTGAAAAATTGCATCGCTGTCAGTGTCTTCCCAACCTGTGTGTACCTCAGAGTTTTTTAAGAAACATCACTCAGTTTGATTTTTTTTTTTTTTTTTGGGTATATTTTCAGTTTTCACCAGCAGTGCAATCAGTGGTTTTCACTTTGTGGAGTAGACGCAGCAGCTAGATAAAAAAGAGCTGCACGTCAACTCGACACGGGAAAACTGCCAAATCAGGGTTGCTGGATTTTTTGTAGCGTACTAACACTGGATTACAAAGTAGGTCGATAAATAATAAGTACATGTTTCTGGAGGCTTTCTATACTTGATTCAAAGGTGGGTCAGAGCGGGTAAAACAGTATGACCTTCCTTTTTACCAGCATGTCATCTTCACACGTTCAACATCAGGATAAAAACAACAGACAGTTTTAGTTTCTGTACCCACAAAGAGCTCCGATTTCTTTTAACGTCTGACTCTAAATTAGCTCCACTGTACACCTTGTAGCATTTTCTTCTTTCGGTTTTTCTTTAAAATGCCTTATTTACAAAAGAACTTCCCAGAAACAGAACAAGAGCAGAAGCTTCAGCAAACAAAGAGTGAACACGTATGTGTGTGTGTTATGTACCGGTATGTTCTTTTTCTAAGCCTTATTGCATCACTAAGGAAGCCATGAGCGCACATACATCCACCTATTTTATTTTACTCCATTTTCCCCGAGATAACAAGTCATTTTCGGTTGTTTTCTTGAGATCTGGCCGTATCTATCTTGACATCCTGGGCTATCAGAGTTGGTTTTCCCGTGATGACGACTTAATTTCTTGAAATCCCAAGAAAACCACATTTTTTGTGGGAAAACCAAGAGTCTCTATCCCGACATAGCGAGATAAATGAGTCGATATCTTGAGAAAAATAACCAAATTGGTTAATTGGTATCAAAAGTGGGAAAAGATGTCGGGATGCATGTCCCCTTAGGGCTTCTGTACATCACAACCTCTCAGTAACAATCACAAAAGAATAACCAAACACTCCTTTTGTTTGTCTGACTGCGTGTGCGTATGTGCGCCTGTATGGATGGAGAAGGTTATTTCTCAGCCTCTCTGCTTTTGCAAGTATTTATTTGTGAGAGGGGTGGAGTTGAGACAGAGAGAAGACGAGGGGGCTGTGTCCTGAGCCGTGTTTTCAGGTGAAGAAAATCAGAGAAAAAGACCAGAAGAGGAGTTAAATATGTCTCGACTGTTTGTCAGTTTTTAAAGAAGGAAAATGGATTAACCAGACGTGGACTTACACTCCCTGTAACAGATGTATTCGTTACAATCTTGCACCAGATGAACTCTAAATAAAGCTGAAATAAATGTACCTGTTAGTGTTTTACAAATGATCTCTGGTTCTTCTTTCTTTGTACGCATGCACTTTATTGAAACACAAATACTCAAGGTCGTTTGTTCTCAGTAACACACTGGTCCTGGGAGATCATCCGCACATCTCATCCGCTGTAAACCTTCTGATATATCTGGAGTTTAACTGCAGATGTTGAAGATCCTTCAGATATCTCTGCCTCAGCACAAGTAAACCTGGCCCCCGTGACCTTTGCAAACTGTGAGAAAATAAATAAGATGACAACATCAATTATTCAGCTATTTGCACAAACATCATTATCTCCACCTAACCCTCGAGCAGACAGTGAAGTTAAATAACTAAGTGCTTTAAATTCATATTAAACTTAGGTTCAGCCTCATGTTACTTTATTTACACTTGTAGGTAGATTTGATTTGCAGCCGATGGGATGATGACATCCATTATGACATCACTTAAAGGTCACATATTCTCCTCCTCTTCTTCTTCAGTGTAAATCAGTCTCAGAGCTCCTCAAAACATGTGTATGAAGTTTCTTGTTCTAAATCCACTCTGATCCTGTATTTGATCATGTCTATTAACCCCTCTATTTCAGCTCTGCTCAGAACAGGCTGTTTCTGTGTCTGTACCTTTAAATATGTAAATGACCTGTGTCTGACCACACCCCCTCTCTGGAAGGGCTTGGGTGTACTCGGTGCTTTCTCACTCCATGTCCTATTGTTGACGGTGAGAAGGCAGACTCAGAGAGCAGAACAAACACCTAGCTGTGGGAGTGTCACCCACCTGGGGGAGGAGTTACTGCCCTTTGTGATGTCATGAAGGGAAAATCTGGAGCAGGCAAAAGACGGAGAGGATGGACTTTTCTCATCATTGGGGGGTTTGTAGACGGACTAGAGACACATGTTAGTGTTAGAGTTTGCATAATATGTGACCTTTAAGAGAAATAGAAAACTATTGAAAAAAACTAAATCATGATAAAAGTGCAGGTTTAAAGTACTTAAAGGGGAACTTTAGCTTTTTTATTAGAAGAAAAACTGCACTTTAAACTGTTATTCCTGCAAGTTTCCTAGACTTGCTATTGCAGACTTCAGAGAGTTGACAGGAGAAGAAGTTGAGAACATAAAAGTGTATTAGATAATTTCACATTAGAAGAGGATCTCTGAGGAACTGAGTTTTGTTAGAACAAATAGATGTCGGCATTTATCAGCATCTTAGAGGAAGAGTTTGCTTAACATGCAGGACTCACCAAGTAAACTATTCCAGAAGGAGTTGTATGTTGCACTGCCGGTCACAGCTCCGAGTCGGGCTGGGTTCCTCCTCACTGTGCGCACTGAGAAGCCACCAGGGCCGGTCACCTCCACCTCCACCACATGATAGTCACTTAACCTGCAGAGGGCAAAAAGAGGAGGGGAGGAACAGGTGTGTAAGCAGATATAAAAGGCTTCATCAGGTGAGTCAGATGTTAAGGAGGACTCACGCCGTGTCAGACACAATCTCTCCCTGAACACCAGAGAAGCCGAGAGTTCCTGCTGCCACTGCTGCCGCCGCCATGGTGTTCACGTTGTTTGGAGCGAGCGGGCACAGCTCAGCCACCGAGCCTTTGAATAAAACACGTCTGCCCTCTCCCTCCGTCCACTCGGAGAGGACGTCTCCTGTCAGCCGGAAGCACGATGGATGCTTGGACATCCTGATAAACAGAGCCTGAAAACAAGTCAAGAAAAACGACAACACCATCAGGTTAAACAGAAGATTCGTCAAATCTTCTCCTCCATCATTCAAATGTTGAGAAAAGTCAGATATTCTGTCAGATATCTGGTGAATAAAAAAGCAATGAGAAAAGGCAATGGAACGAGAAAAACAAAAAATTTAAGCAGCAAGGGCTGGAATAAAGATTTAAGGGGCAACACATCACATCTGAAAGGATTTTAAGGTCAGCATGCACCAGATGTGTAATAACTGTACAAAAGTGCAAAGATTTATCCTTAAATACCTCAAGATCAAAATATCAGTCAGTGGAGTTCTTGACCTGGAAGCATGCTCAGTCTAACACCACACCTGCACCACCCCAGTTTACCTCCAAGCCCCCGCTATCATTCAGCCTCTGGATGTCCTGGCCTCCCCACAATGCACCACTGGGGACGTAGAGCGTGTTCCCGTGCTGCTGAGCCGCCTGACGCAGCTTCTGGTTCAGATCCGGATCAGAGAGGGCGGAGGGAGATCCAACCTGAGAGGAGCAGGAACAGAGAGAGGCTTATCCTGTGCTTCACAGTGAAAACTGCAGAAACTTTGAATCCGACTCTTTTTTTTTTTTGCATACATTCAGGACTTTAATTTAAGAAAACATTTATTAAATCGTAATTTTCACTGAAACACATAACGTGTAGGCACTCATCAAATAGGGATGTGTTGGTTATATGAAAATAATTTTGCAAAATCCAAACTAAAGTTGTGACAGCTGGAAAAAAACCTGAATTTCCAACATCTGCACAAAAACAACACAGAGGACGCTCTCACCATAAAATGAGACCGGGACAGGAAGTGAGGTCCAAAATCTTTGACTATCTGTGGATGGCAGACCTCAATGATCACATGACAGCACCTGAAAGCACAGACATTATTCAATGAGAAAGACAGAACATCATGCATGTTCTCTGTGACAGTGGTAGTGTAGGAAAATAGTTTGGAGGGTTTATATTTGTGTGTGTTTGCACCTGTCTGCAAAGGATGACAGGTCCCCGAGTACAAGTTCATCAGGGACTAAACCTTTGAGTTTTTCTGAATTTCTGTTCCAGACAAAAGCCAGAGTCAGCCCGAGGGCGGCTCCGTCTTTAAGGATCCTCTCCACCAGGAACTGACCTGAATCACACAGAGCGAAAACATCCAGATGTGTTCTATTGTGACAAGAGTGATTCATTTGGATGACAGATTAAAGAGAGAAGTTCAGACCCAGATGTCCGTATCCTACAACTCCAATTCTCTGAGAGGGAGAGCCGGTCGCCATGTCATCTGCAGAGAACGCACACACCAAAACACACGTTTTCTTTTGACCTTATTCCCTATCTGATCGCTCTCAAGTTATTGCTCTACTCACCAGATAATCTCACACTCCTCCGAGCCGTGTGCCGATCACAATGACACACAGCCCACGACTCCAGGAATTGTGGGGGAGCAGAGTACAAGTTTGACTCAGAGACGCCAGTTAATCATTGTTTGTCCTTCTGTGTGTGGAAGTGTCACAGACTGGGCTCCTCCCTTTGTGCAATTTCAGTTGCTGGTGCATTCAGAACCTCATTTATATGCAACTCAATTTATATTAATGCATATCAAACATGTGCTTTGCATCAGCCAACATGTCTACATGTCTTTGGCATGCTCAATTTAAGATGTTTTGATATCTGTAGCTCTGTTGTTGGAAATGTTTCCACTGTTTTTATAATCATATCAAAATGTAAGTGTTCCTCGAGAAATTACATAAAGCGTGGCCATCTGGAGAACTCAAACATTTATATTTGAGGCTATTAATTCATCACAACCCACCTAAAACTCCTTCCTGTTTTGTAAGTCAGTATCAGCTGGTTGTTGTTGTCGCTGGCTTTCTATGGCAATCAGTTTCCTTAATATAGATTTTTTTTGCTTTTTGTCTATATCCGACGGGGTAGTTGATAGATTAGGAAACAGGAGAGACAGTGTGGGGAATGACATGTGGGAAAAGAAGCCACAGGCAGGACTTGAATTCCCACAGCGTCATTCTTCTTAACACATTGCGTCACTTTTGCAACTTAAGTGTATTGACCTTTCTATTTTAGACATTCTAATCATGTACATCATTTAATCTGCTTTTGTTTTGCTACCCAATCATTACACCTAAAAGATCGACTGAAATCAATACAATATACTATAACGCGTTTCACCTTCAGCTTTCTTAAAATGCATTGTTCGCTCGTTGTTTGCTCACAATAAAATTCAGTTAAGTTATTTTCAGAGTGTTGCAGATTATTGATTATTTTTACATGATATGTTCCTGCAATCGCGGGCACCTGAGAACGTATAGGAGGCTGTGCACGGGGAACCCTGTTGGCCATTTACAATAAAAAATACTGTTTGATATTGCACATATACAGAAATGATTGCATCAGCTGCAATAAAATACACTTACATACACATACTCACATACACAAGCACACATGACTAATGGGAAAATGTCTTAATTTGTCCTATGAAGAATAAAGTTTTGGATATCTGAAATGTGTATTTTGTCTTGGAGGAATGAATCACAGATATTTCATATGAATATCCACTCTAGCTGTTAGATGTTAAAACCACCATGAGTTCATTAGAACTTCCTGTTTGTTCATTTTCTTTTGAGACACTGCAACTCAGAATGTGGCCATTTCCGTTCTGTACTGCCAGCATCATCCTGAAGTTTCATACACAGCAAGAAAACAACCTTTATCACATATGAGTTTACTACCAGGTCAACTTTGTCCCCTGGTGTGATGATGTCACCAATATACTCCAGCTGAAGAGGTCAAAGGTCAGCTGTTTGTCCAGGAGGAAATCGATTATCAGAGTGCAGGGATCGGTCCTAAGTCCATTTCTGTGAAACACCAACAGACAGAGCGGCACAGCCAGGAGAACAAGACAGGAACATCTGAGGATTACATGTGTTGGTTACCTGGACAGTAAAAGGAAGAGTTACAGACACAGAAGGCAGGAGAAGGTGAGACACAGGAGGACGGGTTCATCTTACTGAGACACACCTGCTGGAGCTCTGAGACCATGGACATCCTGGAGACAGATGCCTATGACAGGCGGCAGAGGAGAAATATGGTACCTAAAACAATTTGTTCTAACATTTAATTTTGATACTTATTAAAGCTTTGACATGAGAAGTAGACAAACATGCAATCGAATGACATGTCTCCCTGTTTCTCCCTGTTCCCCTCTCTCTGTCAGTCCTGTAGTCTCCTGTTTTCCCTCTTGCCTTTCTTTTTGTCTGCAGCTCTGTACTTCTACCTGTTGACTCCTGATGCGCCCTCGTCCATCATGGCTGCAGGTGTCAAATCGGCCCCCACACTGCTGCTGGCGGCAGTCGTGCTGAGCTGGAACGGAGGTCGGAGTGTCCTGGGTGTGGTGGGAGGGCTGGTGTTCTCTGCTATAGGTGACTGGTGCCTGGTGTGGCCGGAGCTTTTCCTGCATGGTGAGAATCAAGTTTGTATATCGGAGGAGCACATAAGCAAAAACGTTGTGATTAATAAAAAACAATTTTTTGTGGAATTTGAGCAAGTGTGCGGGCCTATCTTATTCCTCAGTTTAGGATACTAACAATTATTTAAATCACAGATTCTGTATCGTTTTTAAAACAGTATTGAAGGCCCAGGGTTTGAGAATAATAATGCATTGCCTAGTTTGAAGAATGTAATTATAAGGACAAACATAACTCTTTGAATTTGATCAATAAACCTGCAAGATTTGCACGATGTCAACATTATTTTCTTTTAAAAGTAGTATGTGTTACTCATGAGTTTCCTGTCTGTTTTCAGGAATGGGTGCGTTTGCCGTGGCTCATCTTTTCTACTCACTCACCTTCCTCTCCAGTCGTTTCTTGCCAGAGTCCTCCTCTTCTTGTAACCGTTTTCTGTATCTGATCCTGTTCCTGACGGGAGGAGGTTTCTACATCTACCTGTATCCATTCCTGCGGAAGGCCCCAGACGCCGAGCTCCTCGTTCCAGGTGTAGGAGCCTACGTCTTCTTAATCACTCTGATGGGGGCGTTAGCCATCAGAACTCGCCACACGGCAGTGCTCATGGGAAGTTTGATCTTCATGGTGTCTGACGTGTCGCTGGCTCTTCAGGTTTTCAAGGCGATCCCACCAGCGGAGAATGGTCAACTCGTTGTCATGGTGACATATTATTTGGCACAGCTGCTGATCGCTGTTGGGGATGTAAGGGCAACGAGGAACAAGGAAGATTTTTCAAAATGGAAGAGATCCTAAAGTGGATCCCTGTGGCATCCCGGAAGTCTGAATATCTCCCTCGGTCCGGTAAACAACTGAAACTACCTGGAAATGTTTATGTCTTAAGAGTTTTTAAATATTAACAAATCAAAATGAAGGCAAAATGGAAGATTAGGACATTTCAGTTTCAAGTGGCTTGCAAGTAAAAATGTCTCTACATAACACATTTCACTTCTTTTTTTTTTGATACTTGGGTTTTCACAATGCCAGAATTTAAAACTTTGATATGCAACTGGAAAAAATTAAATACTGATACAACTGGAATGAAAGTAGACGTCCTAGGCACCTATTGTTGTATTATTTCTCGTTTTCATTTCGTGTTGTGGTACTTGAAATCGCTCTTGGTCTCTTTTGAAAGGTTTGCCTCTGATGACTCTGTCATCTCCAACACACCTGTCTTTGTTTTTTGTTATTTTTCTGCTTTATTATTAATAAGCAAACTGTACACAGCGCTCCGCGAGACACAAATTTAACTTTAGCATCTTTTACAGACCGCAAAAGGTCTTGAGAAACGTCAGTATGTGCCGACCTGTGACTTTAAGGGAACCAGCTCTGCTCTCTCTCTTTGGTTAAATATTCCACTGAGGTTGTGTCATTTTTTTTTTTTTTTTAAAAGCTTCAGTTTATTTTTGATACTATCGATTCGATCATGAAAATCACAGAGATCGCAACATACCCAAAACGTTTGACAAAATGATCTTTCCAGCGGTCATAACATTTTAAAACCAAAATCTTAAAAAAAAAATTAAAAAAGAAACTGAAAGCGATGCAATAAATATTAGTTAAGAATATGTATTTGTATTGTGTGATTTATTACAACATATTCCAATCAGTGGCTTTGCATTACATCCATGTTGAGGTGTAGGTTGTACACGTGGTGACAATGGTTTCCATTAAAGGTATTTCAATTCTCCTATTTGTTTTGTTCATAAATAAATATGGTATAAAAAATAAACAATAATGTCCGTACTTCTGAGTTGTGTTTTAAGAGACAGGGGGCTGAAATACTTTTGCTCAGTACAAGGGGGTTTACATATTAACAATTTAAAAGTTCTTTACACACATCCCGTGATGGAGATGTTTGGGATTACATTCATGATATGACAAACTGAAACACTGGACTAAAATAACAGCGGCATGAAAAAGGTTTTTTTTATACATACGAGTTATTTACACAATACAATCCAGCTCCTGGATTACATGCAACATATCCACAGCGTCTGTAGAAACAAACAGAGACATTTCTCAACATCTGTGAGCTGTGTGCCATGTTCTGTTTCATCTCTGCAAGCCGACACTAGAACTGGTGACGTCAGTGAAACTTCAACGATCCATCCCGTTTTCATCGTGCTGCCCGCGGAAACATGCCACTCTTAAGCGCTCGCAGAAGTCCAGTTCTTCCTGCAGGAGACAAAAGTGCGACTTTAAGAGGACTTTCTGAACTGAAGAGAATATTTTTTGGGGTCTATAATACTTAAAAGAAATAAGAACTGAATCAACTTTGAGCGACATATCTGAATGGAGATCAGTCCTACAAACCTTTATTAAACCTTCAGGATTTATGTTGCATCGTCTTTAATCTTAATTGGCTCACAGAAGTTTTGACAAAGACAAGACCACCGTCCTAACAACCAGCTGATGAACCCTCAGGCTGTAAGAATTACCTGACTCTCCTCTTTCCCTCGGAGCTCTCTTGATCGCTGCCTGAGTAACTCCTCCAGGTTTAGAGCGGGATTCCTGCAGTCTTTAAGACCCTGCGGACACTCCTCCACCAGACTACACACATCAGAAACACAGACAGGTGAGGTTAATGATGTAAAGGATGAACGAATGCCAACATGCGGACAACAGTAAGGCGGAGGGTGATTCTTACCAGCACAGAGCGCCCAGCACGTGCTCATGGAAAGGCGAGTGTGTCGTGCGGAGAACAGACACCAGCTGCTGCACCATTCCCATGGAAAGGACTGTGTCTGCAGGGGGAAAAGACAAAGAGTTATATCAGACCGAATAAAAAAAAAGAAAAAAAGATCCTACAATAATGTAGATTAAAAAGACAAACATCATTACAAATATTTTTTTTTCTGAGGATGCCAAACACTCAAGGTCGTGTGTTCCATTAGAAAGATGACCCGAGTGACTCGTTGAACAGCATCTCTTGTTCGTACCTTTCTGTTCAGCATGTGACGTCAGCAGGTTGAACAGAAGGAATGCCGACTTGGTCCTGACTTTCTCGTTCCCCGTCTGCATCCCTCGCATCAGCACCGAGAAGCCATCGTGGGACAAGAACGCCTGGAGTCCTGCCTCCTGCTCCCGAACCAGACCTGAAGTCACAACAAGACGGTTTGATGCTAAGGTGTAAAGTAGATCTTTTAACACAGGCTTTAAAACGCCTTCTGATCCTGATTGAGCAGCTATTTACAATCAATACAAGCCAGTTTCAAAAAGACTGTTTTAAGGATTATTGAGTTGTAGGGTTTATTTTTGCACCACTGTCCAAGGTACTCACACGACACAGCGTAGAGGGCTTTGACTCTGACCGTGGCGTTGGAGTCCGAGTCCGTCAGCTGCAGAAGTTTTGGCAGTGCTCCGTTGCTAAGCAAGTAGACCTGCACCTGCGGCATGTTCTGTGCGCAGCAAGCGATGAGCTCAGCAGCTCGCCACCTCAGCCCACTTTGAGGATGACACAGATACTGGGAGAGGCACAGCTCCAGTCCACCCAGAGTCATCAGGTCTGTGAGGAAGAAAAAAAAGTCAGAACAGCGCTAACAAACATTATCTTTATCCATGAATCAATAATAATCCTATTTATCACAAACCTCTGGCATTGTCCAGGTTCTCGCACAGCTCTGACAGAATCTCAAAGGCTGACTCCCGCTCATCTTCATGATCTTCATCTCGCTCCTCCTCTCCTTCTTGCTCCCCTTTGTTTGCTCCCTCTTGTCTCAAGAGAGCCACGCAGCGCTTCATCTGCTCGACCTCGTCCATCTGCCCTTTGCCGACTTCTGCAAGAGCGTCTCTCAGCCACGTTTTCCTCTGAAACAAAGAAAGGGCACAAGAATGTCCAAAGTGAATAACTTCTTCCTGCCCTCTTCATCGAACAGACGAGACCCCGCTCTGTCTTTGATGCTTGTGCCCTTTCTTTGTTTTATTTGATTTTATTTGTTCTCGTCATGAGAACAAATAAAATCTTTAACTCAAAAAAAAAAAAAAAAAAAGAATACGAAAATTCAACCATCAGTGACTCACACAAAGCAAAGATGGAACAGTCCTGCTATAACACTCCTGCACTCAAACCAAATGGACTTGAAAGTCGGATATGATTTCAGAAAACCCCACGGGTCGTTACATAGTTCAGGTTCTGATAGTCATTATGAGATAAAACGGCTTAACACACAAAACATTTGTCAAAATGTCCACAAGTTGTTGCGCATTCAGCGTCTTAATATATGCTTCAGGATGTAGAGTGTAGTAAAAATAAACAGTACATGTTAATCTCTCGTGTCTCCTTCTCAGGCTGGTTTTAGGACCATTTAAAGCAGGGATGTCAGACATACGGCCTGACAGCAGGTTTCATCCGGCCCGCGAGACGTTTTGGGGAAGAAGGGGGAAATGTATTGAAAAATATTTTGAGATTTTTTTTAATACATTAAATATTTGTACTTATTTTCCCCAAATTGTATTAAAACCTATGTAAAATGAGCAACTTAAAGGTTGAAATCATGAAACGAATATTAATTAAACGGGGCACTTTGAACTATCTTCTCAGCAGGGAGTATCACGAGCTGCTCCTGCATTACGCTGGAAATACATCACATCAGAAAACAGGCTGAACACCTGAGAGAGGTGACACAGAATGCAGGTTTTCAAGAGAGATCGAAGGAACGATATGTCTTTAGTTTTATTTGCTCACAAGTTGCCAGAATTGTATCAGAGCCACGGGACTTAACGACAGGCACACCGCTGCACTGCGCACGCATCATGATGGTCTACAGCTCTGTGCACACTTCTTACCAGTTTCTCCTGTCTTGACTGATGTAAAACAAAAGTTTGACTAACGATAACAAAGCTTCCTATGGAGTGAGCCACAAAGAGCAGCTCGTGCAAATAAAAAACAATGATCTCCGTCCTGCGTAAAGGCCCAGACCGTCTCCTCACATCCAGACTAAGTGGAGGTTGTGGACACCGGCGTTGAGCCTGATGCATCTCCCGACTAGTTTTACCTCTGGTTATTGTAAAAACAGTAAATTAAAATGAATAATAACTGATTTTAATTACAGATGTTTCATTTTTAGGTCACCCAGAGGTGAACGTGTTGTGTTGATCACCTAAAAGTTTCAGTGCGACATCACTTCTAAATGCAGTAGCCTGCTGTTGCGCCTTCATCACCAGCTTTCATCAGAGTGTAAAAATATAACTATTACTGAACATTTCATTCTGATACAAACACGATATCAGGCACAGGCTGTCCGATCATACAGAGGTCCGCTGGTTTAACCGTGGAGCTCTATGCGCACAGATTCAAGGCGAAAAAGTCAGTGATAGAGTTAGATTACGATAACTGAGTTTACTTAGTTGAAAAACGTGCACCCGAAGATGCATCAAAGACACTCTGTGTGTGTGACACTGACACATCTAAAGTCTCTCTCTCTCTCTCTCTCTCTCTCTATGTTGTCTTCTGTAATGTGGTACATTTAAACATTTCCATGTGCCAACATGCAGTGACAATGTAATGACAGTTAACCCCTCTGCTTAATGTTAAAGTTTTCTATACAATCATACATTAGCTTATATATCCACATGTTGAGTTATAGTGATGTCTGCAAAATTAGTCCAGCCCACTTGAGGTCTCATTTGAACAAATCCGGCCCCGGACCCAATAGAACTTTGACACTCCTGATTTAAAGTCACCTTTGAAGCATCTTCTTCTTCAGTTTGAGGTTTTTCATTCAGAGACTCTTACCTCATCTGACATGGGTTCAGTAGGAGCAGGTCCCTCTGCAGCTGATCCGGCCTCCACTGCCAGCTGCAGCACCCCCTGAAGGTTTGGGGGATATCTCCTGCCCTGCCTGTCTTCTTCCATATTGTACACAGCTAAGGAGAAAAACAAATCCAATTAAGTGGCACAGAAAATTGGATTTATGACATAATGTTCACTCTGTCATGTAATAGGAATCTTCAAAACAGAATAAACTAACAGATAGATTTAAACTTAATCTGACATTAGTTTAAATGTTCTAACCAAACATGTAGAACCACATATTATTAATGTACATCGCTACAATTATGCTTAATATGATAAAACAGAGAAAACCCAGCAGTCCTACATAACCTCATTAGCTACAGATTAGCATAAAGCTACGTACAACATTTAATCCCATTGACGGAATAAATAATTACCTTCCTACCTCTTTAGGACTCCTTTAAACAGTGTTGACTTAATGTGCCCGCTTCTTCTGCTTGGCTTCAAGTTCAGTTTTCTGCCCTTATAAACACAGAAATGTGAATGTGCTAGAACATTCTAGCTAGCTGATCTCACGAGTGGTAAGGAGGCTGCCATGCTTTACCGTAAACCCTGTACCAAAGAGGAACGCAAAACAAGAGTTTAAGTCGTAATAATGTCTGAAATTGTTTGATTAGTCTAAGCTTTATTTTTCTGTACTGATTCAGTCCTTCGAAACTAAAATAACGTAATTAAAACAATAACAGGGCATTGGTATAGAAAGCCCAACAGAAAACTACAACATATTAGCGTAATTACGGTAAATCACTGACGTCCTGCGCACGGCTTTCAGAGAGTATCAGTGAAGACGAGAGAAATCGCCGCATGAGGAATATCTGCAAGGAAAACGTTTGTGTCCAACAAAGCAACACTTACCGTAGCTAAAGAGGACATTTCTAACTTTATTTAAAAGTTATCCAATCAGATGTATCAATAGTCTATTTGATGTACAGTTTTATATCCGTACCCTGAATCTTCTACAAAGTTTTTTTTTGAGGGAAGTGAATATTACTTTCACTAACATAACTTATAATTTAAATTTGAATAGAAGAATTAGGTATTGGAAGTGGTAGTAGACGTAGCAGTACCAGTTTTTCGGATTCACTTTTATTTCAAAGTAGAAATGTTTACATTCTACAAATATTATATACGTTGAAAATACAAGTTCAAAGGGTATTTTTTCAGATTCATAATAAAATAATGTGTATGTGTCACATTGAAATTCAAGTGGGCAAAAAAAATTCAAATAATGTTATCTTAAATAAATCTGCAAATTTCTTGCCACAAGCAGTACGATTGTATGTACCGGTAAATGTTTTGATGTAGAGTAGAGCCTGCCAGCTTGAACGAGTGTTTCGAGCTTGACGGTTATTCTCTTGAAAGTTTCATCGTCTTTGTTTAGTCCAACCATCCAAGATGGCGGCGCTTGTGGGACTGCGTGCATGTTTCTCCGGTAAAAATCATTTATTTCACGTGCTGAGTCCTCCCTAACGTGTATTTTTCGACAGATTATTGTTTGTTAGCAATTTTGTTTGTTTTCTCGCTCGTGTTGTTTATGTCTGCAATAATCTGACCTTTACTATAAAAAGAGATGATGCTGTCTGTCCGAAAGCAGAGCAAGGTCACGTTACCAAATAATGTTAGCTAAGTACACAGTTAGCCGGGCATTTTACTGACCATTGATCATTGATTGAAATCAGCTTATATCATAGATAGTTTGATTTATAATGAATGAAAACTAAAAGCAGATTCTTTATTGACGGAAAAGACACAGAGGAGATTTCCCTTCTGGTGCAGCGGGGTTTGTTAGCTTAATGACAGCTGCAGCTGCTTTAAGGTAACAAGTACACTTCTAAAACATCATGCAAACTCGGTGTCCCATTCATGTTATGAAACATTACTGCAGGTGAAAGGAGCTTAAGCGTCACTCATATGTTACAGTATCTATACAGTGAACAGAGATGTCTGAGACAATCAATGCTAATGAGGGATGGAGGGTATCTTATATAAACAGATGTCTGCACACATTGACACAGACATGAAACACTGCTCATAGAGTTTGAATATGAATTTGTCTAATAATCGTTGTAACATATATCATTTGAAATCCTCCTCTCAGCCCTTCAGCTGTCCTCGCCGAGCCTCCTGCACAGCTCCTTGAAATTAGTGAGTATGAACTTCAGACCAAAGACGGTGTCATGTGGATTTCTGTTATCTGGCAATATCTTAGTGTTGTTTTATTTCTCATAGGGCGCTGTGCCTTTGAGCCGGCGGACCTTTGCTGCAGAGGCCAAGAAGACCTACAGCAGAGAGAAGCCCCACGTGAACGTCGGAACGATCGGCCATGTGGACCACGGCAAGACGACCCTGACTGCAGCCATCACGAAAGGTAGAATCACCGAGTGCCACGTTTAACTCGTGCTGTGTGTGAGTTAGAGAAGCTGCATCATTTGCTAGTTTCGCAAAACAAGAAAATCTGATAAAATGACCTTTTGTGTGTGTTTTTTTTTTCTCCTCAGTTCTCTCGGATGCTGGTGGTGCAAACTTTAAAAAGTATGAAGACATTGACAATGCCCCTGAGGAGAAGGCCAGAGGAATCACCATCAACGCCTCTCATGTAGAATACACCACAGCCAACAGACATTACGCTCACACAGACTGTCCAGGTCACGCTGACTATGTCAAGGTAATCGGCTTTCTGACATGGCACCGCTCTGTTTCAGCTGCACCATGTTTTCTTTTCCTGGCGCATTTCAAACGTAGACTAACATACTCTGATTTCTTCTCCAGAACATGATCACAGGTACAGCCCAGATGGACGGCTGCATCCTGGTGGTGGCGGCCACTGACGGCCAGATGCCTCAGACTCGAGAGCACCTCCTGCTGGCCCGGCAGATAGGCGTGGAGCACGTGGTGGTCTTCATCAACAAGGCAGACGCTGTGGAGGACAAGGAGATGCTGGAGCTGGTGGAGATCGAGATCCGCGAGCTGCTCACAGAGTTTGGCTATGATGGCGAGAACACACCTGTGGTCATAGGCTCCGCCCTCTGCGCTCTGGAGGTGAGGGAGCATCGCTACCCATTCATCTTTAGAGAATGATAATCTGCTCATAAAAACGATTAACCTGAAAGTAACTTGATCATGAATAGAAATTCACCGCACATCTTATACATTTTTTTTTTTTCTCATGTGAGTCATCTGATTGTGATTTGACTCTTCTATCTCAGAACAGACAGCCTGAACTCGGCGTTGATGCAGTGATGAAGCTCCTGGATATCGTGGATTCTTACGTGCCGCTGCCTAAAAGAGAGCTGGACAAACCTTTCCTTCTGCCCATCGAAGCCGCTTATTCAATCCCAGGTATAAAAACTATAAGACAGATAGAAACTTTGAAGGTGAAATATTATGATGGATATGCACCGATCCTGAGATTTCAAATATTAAATAAAAACATGTTATGAACTTGCTCTAAATACTCGTCCTTATTGGTTGTGTCTTTCAGGCAGGGGTACGGTGGTGACGGGAACCGTGGAGAGAGGCATCATCAAGAAAGGAGACGAGGCAGAGTTTGTGGGCCACAACCGCAGCTTCAAGTCGGTGGTTACAGGTGAGTGACGGAAGAAGCAGCAGAAACTCAGAGAAGGACCTGTGATGTGCACAAGACTATTAACCAAAACATAAAGGAAACACACTAAAAAAAAAAAGGGAAAAGCTGAATAATGAGAGGCTGAAACATACAAAAGCAGATAAAATTGTTGACTGGCCAAAGAACATGGCCGACCACAGGGGCCTAATAAAAAAAAAAAAATCAATCATGAATTCAAGTTATTTGTTCTTTTAGAAAGAGGTGTTTTTCCTTCTAATCAAAGTAATGAGGTGGACAAATAGCCTGTCAGTGTTGATCTTGATTTAAAATCTGGAGTAGGCCCAGTCCGAGGCCGAGTAAAAATGCTTTTGATTACGAGACGGAGACCTTCAAAAAGTGGTCTGGAGACTCAGACCGATTATGAGTACTAGAACACTAGCTCATGGTAACAAACTCTTTCCTAAGACATGTTTTGTTACTTCTTCCTATTTGGTCACACGTCTGCCTGTGTAAAGAATGATCTAATGAACGGCCTCAAGTTCTTAACCCGCTGATGGAGAAGGAGTCTCACCTTCCCTCCGCCCTCTTTGTCTCAGGTATCGAGATGTTCCACAAGTCTCTGGATCGGGCCGAGGCGGGAGATAACCTGGGCGCTCTGATCCGAGGACTGAAGAGAGAGGATGTGAGGAGAGGGATGGTGATGTGCAAACCTGGAGCCATCATGCCTCACCGGAAAGTCAAGGCCCAGGTCTGACACACAAAGATTCAGACAGTTCTTATCCATGAAATTGTGACATTTCTTTAAACATCCAGACGTTTAAGAAGCAAACTGACGAGCCAGAATTCACAGTCCCCTCTGTGAAACACACTGATGTGTGTGTGTGTGTGTGTGTGTGCTCCCTTTCTACCAGGTGTACGTTCTGAGTAAGGAGGAGGGAGGCAGACACAAACCCTTTATGACCAACTTCATGCCCGTCATGTTCTCTTTAACCTGGGACATGGCCTGCAAAGTCACTCTGCCCGCAGAAAAGGTTTGTGTGTGTGTGTGTTTGTTGTTATTATTATTACGATTATTTTCAGGGCAGAGTCATGTGACAACTCGTCCAATCCCCGACATGGAAGCAATGTCCGTCGTTTGGACACATTTAGTCTTTAGGGACAACAACACCAAACAACAAGAAGTCAAATGTAAACACTGCAGAAAAACTTAATTTCTACTTTACAACTAAAATGTCTCATTTTCATTTCAAGCTGTGATGATAACAGTTTTTACATGATGAAGGTACTGACCCTAAAATAAGTTTATATAATCTCATGTTCAGTGTGTTGGATTCTTTAATGTTTCTGCAAAATGAAATGAGATCAGTTTACAACGAAGAAGAGGCATATTTATTTTTAAAGCACCTTTCATACGTCGGGTGATTTAATCATTAAGAACAGTCAGAGAGCTTAAAAAAAGAGATTTGACATTATGTTTTAATCATTTATTGTGACTATACTACATGAATATACAACAGATTAGATTAAAAGATGAAAAAGGAAATAAAGAGCACATTAAAATGATTCAGTGAAACTAAAGAAGAAGTGAATGCATGGGAAAGCAGCAGAAAATAAAAAGTTTAAAGAGCAAACAGATTAAGAAAGCCTCGGGTTCTCTGACAGATTCTTAAATATTTGAGGAGCGTAGGAAGTCAAAGCCGCTCACCCTGCTATGTTCTCTTTCTTTAATAGTCGGTTAAGAAGTGACGCAGCACATAAGAGATGTTTTGAATCACAGTAACCACTCACCTGTGTGTTCTTGTGTCTGTCCAGGATATGGTGATGCCCGGGGAGGACACCTCGTTGATGCTCACACTTCGCCAGCCGATGGTTCTGGAGAAAGGTCAGAGGTTCACTCTGAGGGACGGAAACAAAACCATCGGCACCGGCCTGGTTACAGACCTCCTGCCTGCTACAGAAGAAGAGCTCAACTGGGGCTGAACAGAAACTCTGCAGAGGGAGCCTGGGTGGGGTGTCCAATAATGGATGTGGAGTGGGTCGTATGTGGCTGGCTTTATCGAATAATTATACAAATATTAAAATACAGAACAGGAACACAAAAAACAAACCTCAAAAAAGACAAAAAGGAATGCATGGCTTTCTTGTGCAATTCCACCCAACCAGAGTACATGTTATGTTTAGCACTATGTTTATGTTTAAAGGGCCAGACTGTCAAAATAATGTCATTTATGTAATAAAATGTATTTAATAAAATCCATCCTTTCTTCTGTGGTGTTAGCATGTGCTCGCTGGATCATCTTCAAGAAATGAACACAACAGAACAAAGTTTATAGAACAAGAAAGATTTATTTTTATTTATTTAGATGAATTCGATGACAACTGGTTTTGCTTATTACATTTTAAATCAGGATCCTTTTGCATTTAAAGACTGCTGCAGTGAAAAAAAGCTCTGCTGTCATGACATCATTACACCACACGAGGGCAGCGAATAGATGCCTCAAGAGCTTTTCAACAAGTCAAATCGATATAATCTCAGGATTATATAAAACTATAATGAGCAAAGTAAGACAGTAATTTTATGTCAAACCAAACGTGTTCTGATGAGCTTTAGTGAAGAAATAATTCCTTCTAAAGACTGGGGGGTTGATCAGTTGCAGAAGTGAGTTTCAATTGCTTTAGTTTATGTTTTAATATGCTGTGAGAACTGATCATTTTCAGTCTTGAGAGGGGACGGATTCAAAGTTTGGCTCATATATATATATATATATATATATATATATGTGTAGAATGTTTTTGCAGTATTTAAGTTTTCACAGGGCTGAGACCCTCTCTGAAATGTTGTACCAAAAATTATAATGAAATGCCATTTTTTTCCTGAGTACATATGGACAAATCTATTTGTTTTGTATCCTTTAAAATAAAAATAAAATAGAAAAATTGTAACGTGCCTTCCTGTTAGGTGGGTGGAGTTGACCGTTGACCTCTGCTGCTAAGAGCGATCTGATTGGTTCTCATCGTGTCAATCGTTTTTGCATGCGCGGGAATCCATAAACAGGTTACATAAAGATTTACTTTATTGATCCCCACAAGGGTAAAAACAAACAAATAAACAAGCTACCATACTGTAAATATTCATGGACTGTATTAAACTACGAGTTTCTAATCTATTTAGTGAAATACACGTAATTCTTGCTGGCTGCGTTATGTTTGCCGACGATAATCAAAGGAAGGAAAGTCGATGCTAATTATCACAGACTGTACCGGAAACGCTAATTTGATAAAAAAAAAATAGAGGATTATAAGGAGCAAGAGGACATTTTAAGAAGAGGAGTGTCCAAACGCGCTGCTCTGTAAGTCACAAAGTTAGCTAAAAGTAAGCTATCTCTGTCATGAGCTTTGTCTAGAGCTAACGAGAGCTACAGCTACATGTACGTAGCGCTGTTTCCATGGTTACCGTGGATGAATCTGATTTTATTTACGGTTTTATTTTCAGTAGTACATTTTTTTTAATTTATTTTTTACTGTTTAGTTTTCATTTTAATTCAGTTCTTAAAAGTTATTTATGATACTTTGATAGTTTAGTTTTTATTTTGTGAAAATGCTTAGTTTTATTTAAGTTTTTATACATTTTAGTTTAGTTTTTATAAGTTTTAGTGTTCGTTTCTTTTTGTCTCTGTATTGTAAATGGTTCAGGGAATGATATCCAGCAGCTTCTTATGTAATGTAAACTGATGTACCTGAGACAAATGGGAAGTGTAAGCTGAGTGTCACTCAGTATGTTTGTGTCAAAGACGAAACACTAAAGTGATTTTCTCTATAAATTTTATTTTATTTAGCTTTGTAGACACACAATACAGTTTCAGTTAGTTATTGCTTTTTGGTAAAGCCTCATTTTTAATTTTCATTTTGTTAACAAAACAGTTTTTTACATTTTACTTCTATTTTTTTCGTTAGTTTTCGCTAACGAGAATAAACTTGCAATGAAATAAACAATCCAGCCCCACCATAGCTACCCACAATTCCCCTTCTCTGCTACTGGAAATTAGTAGAAGAAGAAAAAAACAGACAAACAACATTAGAGCACTAGAGATAAATTATCATCAGGTAGAGACAGAGACTGTAGGCTATTATTCTAATGAGTATTTCATAATTTTTGAATTCAGTGTCCTTTCGCCGGTCTCTCTGCTCGATCTTCCCCTGCAGGAAGCTGTGCATTTGCTCTGTGTTCGCTCGAGGTATTTGAGTCAGTGCCTCCTGTAATATAATCAGCCTGTTGCTGTAATCAAATACTGTACGTCTGCAGGGGACGCGGCTGGAGCGGCTCGTACTGCTGAGTGATGTGATCAGCTGGAGGATTGATGTCTCCACGGGCAAAATAACTTGCAGAGATAAAGATGATCAGACAGTAAATACTGATATGTACTGCCGGTTACTGATACTGGCTTTAACTGTCTTTTATGAGTGCTGCTGATACACTAAATGTGAGTCAAAGCAGACGTCACCTGTGATGGATGTTTACTGAGTCAGGAGACACCTGTGATCTGTTCACCTGTTCATGTTGGCAACAACCTCAAAGAGGGATGAGATAACACGCTGCCAGATATCTGTGTTCATCATATAATTGTGAGCAACAACATCTTGTTTGTGGTTATATATCTGTCAACTTCTTTTGTGCGAATCAGGAGAAGTTTTAAGATGAATTTTTAAAAGTAAAGTTCTTTGTTGTAAGGTTTTTTTTTTAATGTGATGATAATTTAAGTATGCTCTTCTTTGTGTAGCCTCTCTTTAATAATGAGACGATTTTTCACAGTCTTCTTTCTTTTCTTTCTCTACTGATTTCAGGATCCATTCCTTTTGGTCAGATTTTCCCAGTCCAGCTGCTGTACTCCCACCAGTGACCTTCCATTCACAAGGTGACCCCTCTAACCTTTGAGCTGTCCACACCCCTCATAATGATAATATGACACTCCCTGAGCCATCAGATGTGTCTGTGAATGGAAACAAGGCTGCAATATAATATCACCAAGATGCTCAGACTGTTTTCCTTCAGTTGTTCAGTCCTGATGTCACGTCCATGAGCCAAGGAACACAACATGTATTTCCAACCCTCCCTCTCCATTTCCCATCAACACAGACAGATCCTGATTCAAATCTTATCACGTAAGAGTCTTACATAAATGGGTGGTCATCCAATACTTTTTTTATTCCCAACATAGACACCCTTCTAACATTTGTCTGTTTATCCTTGACAGTAATGTAACCGCCCAGAGCATGCATCTGTATCAAACAATAGCCAAGATAAAAGATAGATAAAGCTGCACCAGATAGTCTTAATTTTCATCTACAGCTTGTAATCTTCATCTTTAATTGTAGACAAAGAAATCTATCCACTGATGATGTCGCCAAACTTTGAAAAGAAATCATAAACTGCTCCTGGATTTGCTTTGCAGACACAGTGGGAATGGATTTAGAACATTCTCATTTTTTTATTTTACACGAGTCTTGTGATGCAAAACTGTGCGCACAGTTTACAAATCTGTGCTTCCCAGTGTATCATGGAGGAGATTTATAAACAGCTTTTTTTTCTTACTCGAGCCTTCAGGGGCTTTGAAAAGGGGAGAAAAGAAAACAGCCTTTTTTTGTGAAATGAAGTTGATTTTTACAAGATAAAAAACTAGTTTACCCTGGTTTCTGAAATAGATGCATTTAAGACACAGTAAGATCTTTCTCTGCTTCCATGAGCAACAATGTCAGTATTTATCAAAAATGAAAGTTTTGGATGTGCAACGTGTTTAACTCTCTGTATAGCGAGGTAGCTATTTGATGAACAAGTTCACACAGTCTTTGGCAGAATTGATTCATTTGTAATTGAAAGTTCAGGATCAACATGATTCAGGTCTAAAATGTCTGAAGTTCTGGTTTTAGAATAAGGGAGTGCAGCTGTTGCATCATGTTACTTTTCTTCCAGCCTCCACCTCCTCCAGGCAGCTGAAGGAAACCAGCGAAGAAAAGAGCCCCTGCAATTAAGTCTGAATTTACCTCTGAGCAGCCCACTCTGCATGTTGGAACACTGACCCTCCACGCTTCTCGTCCTCCAACACGGCTGAGTGGGTGGGATGCATCCCGGTTTATTCTAAGAGCTCCTTCCATCACCCAGCTCATCTCGGAGGATACACAGCTCGCATGAAGTGAGAAATTAAACTCTCATTTGACCCTTAATTAGCTTTCTTAAAGCTAGCATGGCGGCATCTTCTGCTAAATGTTTCTGTGCCAAGAAAGTCAAATGTCACGTATGTCCATTTTTAGCTCCTTAGGATTATTACATAAAACAGCACCTGGGTGTTATTATTCTAAAGCCAAACACATACACACAGTGATGACTGATGAGATTTGATGGGAATTTAAAGAATATCCTCATCAACGAATGAATGTTTTTATTCAGTCTGTTTGCAGAAGCTATCACAGATTTTTCAATTTAACAAAAACTATTCTGAGCTCTAAGTTAGAGGCATTTTGTGAAGCAACCTTGACTGTTAGACTTTGAATGTGTGAACTCAATGTGCAATAACATTAAAAAAAGCACACCTTGTTCTTTCCTCTGTTGTCTCTTCCAGTCCGTGGATTGTTTGGAGGACTCAGACACGGTCAGGGCAAACATCTCTGCAAAAGTCAGATTGTCAGCTACATAGAGGTAAGACACATTTATTCATCAATACATTAATTCATCATACTGTGGTGTTTTGCACCGCTCTTTTCATATTCTGATGAAGGTGTTGAAACTAGCATCATGGCTGTGCTGTATTTGTGCCGACTGTGTCATCAGGGTACAATTTCATTTTGTAGTATCCAGCGCTCTGCAGCTCTCTCAGGCTGGAACGTTGACAGTGTTTCTGTAAAATCTGAGACGATGTTCAGAAGTTTGAAAACAAGAAATTGCCTAGTATAAATATGAGTATGGTGTGTCTAGAACTCCTACTTTTTAATTAGTATGGGAACCGGTTTCGATATCAATTTAGGTTTTACTAGAATCATAATGAAGTTTAAAAGTCTGGTTTCATGAAAAAGCTTGTTCCTGTCATGCTGATTTATGTCAGAGTGTTCATTTTTCTTAGAAGTTTGAATTATTTTCTTGATCTATAAAAGTGGGTCACACCATGATTGACAGCTCTGTGGACAAATGAGAATCCTCTAGTCCTGTTTGCACCGGATCTCTACCACACAGACTCCAGATATGCAATCTGTCCGCTCCTGTTTCGAGGTTATTTTGGCTTTAGATTTGTACAACAGCTGCAGGTGGAGACTTCCATCTTTATAAACAGTCAGTGTGGTCATCCTCTGATACTCTACTGTGTTTGGGCAATAGGACACTGACACTTAATGGTCACTGTTTTATTAATAATTATAATTTTCTGGAAACTCCATGAGGTACCCCTAAGTTTCCGTTGTTGTTTTGTGTTTGAGTGCTCCCTTATGTGCATGTGATCTCTATTTCAGTGATCAAGGTTGCAGGGCAGTGAAATCAAGCAGGACTGCCAAGTGTTGTGTGTACATGCAAAGACATGCCTGTTTGATTGCATAAGAGTGAAAGAAGAAACCTCTGACCCCAACCAGATACTGCTCCACCAAATCACAGCCACAAATCACAGCCCGTTCCATTATCCAAAGCCGGACTCCTTATTGCTCCATGGCTGCTTTTATTTGATTTATCTTTACAACAAGTACATTCAGAAGATGCTTATTGTTTAATTATCACCGTAGTTAGTGAGAAAAAAAAGAAAACTGTTGGCTTTGTGTGGTAGATTTTATTAAGGTATCAACAAGCTTTATTTGTCTGTCAATTCAACAAATTATCGTCCTGTGAGACAAACAAAAACCCTGTGAGGAGAAAACAAGGTGCCACTCAGAGTTCAGATTGCTTCAACTGCATTTAGTGGAAGACAAGAAGAGATCAGTCCAGAAAGAAAAAAACAAACAGGTTCCTGCTTTGCTCGAGAAACGTATGATATTAACACTGATATTTTAAATAATCTATTACTGCTTAGCCTCTAACAGCTGAGATGACCTTTAAGCCCCAAAATTAAGATAGATATATTTACAATATCGTCGTGATAAATGTACAAATAAGACATGCTGAAGATCTTTGCACTAGCTCAGAGGAACGACCATTTGTTTTCTAGAGTAACCTCCATTCTGATGTTTTCAGCACAAGTCAGCAGGATATAAATACAAACGTGTTGAGCTCTGCTGAAGTCGCAGTCTGGTGAACGAGTTAACCCACATGGAGCTTTAGTTAGAGGAGCGGGGAGGGGGAAATAATTCATCTCACCTGAGATAAGTGAAGCTGTGGTGCTCAGTGTGACCTAATATCTCCTGTACCTGCCCTATTAAAACAAAGAAAAGAGGATAACGGCACCGGCCAATAGAAAGTCAACATCAGCTGTTATATGACATACATCATGTATTCATTATTAGAACCACCATTGAGGGCATATAACCTATGTTTTTAGAGGTCTGTGCGACTATGTTTGACTTCTCATAAGAATTAATTCACTCATGTGTGATCCATGAGCAGGTCAGAGAGAAACTAGGATGCACACCTACAAGCTGTGCATGTGTGCAGAAACACGTGATAGTGATGACGACTACTCCAGGGCCAGCTGGACGGCTGTTTCTATAATATCTCTTGAGAAATTATAATGATGAATATAAAAAGGATTTAAATCTGAATCATGTTTTGGCTTCAGTCTTTAAGACAGGACATCATGATGTGTCCAAGTGCTTATGTAAGACCCTTTTCTTACTTTGAAAAGAGTGTGTTTCAAACGATAAAAAGTGAGCTATAGTGTTGGAACAATACGCTTGTATAGCCTTATTCATGCTTGCACAAAACTCCTGAAGTTTTGAGGAGGAGCTCCATGTCTGAGTGCAAACGGCCACATTTTCTCCCTGACTTTGTCCAAAGTTTCTCCTGCCAGCACCCTAGTATATTTAAAGATTTATTTTTGGGCTTGTTGTGCCTTTAATGGACAGAGAGGACAGTGGATAGAGTCGGAAATCAGGGAGAGAGAGAGTCTGGAACGACATGCGGGAAAGAGGCCACAGGTGGGAAGCGAACCCGGGCCGCCCGCTTGAGACGACAGGCTCCATACATGTGGCGCGCGCACTAACCACTGCGCCACCAGCGCCCCAGCACCCTAGTATATTTAAGCAGAAAATCCGAGTGATGAGAACGCAGCAGGATATAATCAGGAGAATTCACCTCGAGCAAGTGGGAGGGGTCGGTGATGACATTACCACAATAACCACACGACCATGGACTGTCTGCTTGTGACCACTACGATCTTCGTGCATGTAATGAAACTGCTGCATTATGTTCTCCAGTATTTTCTTCTCCACTCTACACAGATCATTGATAAAGAGACAAATATTCAACATTATAGCGTCGTATAGAGGACTCTGTTGCTTCGTCCCTTACTTCAACATTGTTCTATTTATGTCATGTCATGCCCCAGGAGACCCCCCCCCCCCCTTCTGACAGGGAGAGTGTCCCGCTGCGAGGTGTATGTGTGAACAACAAGATCAGGAGGATTTCAGGAGCCGTCCTCCGAAAATTGTCTAGAAATTTCCGGGGGTGCATATTTGAAAAAGCTAAAGTTGGTGGCTTGTGAGATCGGTTGATGAAATCTGTTGACAGATCCAAATGATAAACCTGCTTTAGTCTACTTCTTCCTGAGATCAAAGACCTGTTGTTTCAGTAACATAAACAGGTTTCCAGTGCAAACCCTTCCCTCTGTTATCATAGCTAACTGCATGTGTTACATGGGAGAGCATAGAAAGGTGAAGTAACAGTAAAGCCAGAAGCAAAAACGAGCAAATGCTCATTAGGTCGTTACATCGGCCAATCTGTCAGTGGCTCCCTGCTGGCTGAAAGTTAAAGACAGAGACGTATAGTTCGACCTGATTAAAGGCTTAGCGGCATAATAACACATCACGGACCGTTAAGCTTTTTTTTTTCCTGTTTTGAAGTCTCTTTCTCTTGAGTCTCCCGCTGTTACATGCAGCCCATACACACGTTTATTTACACCCACTAACAAGTCCTCCAATTACATATAATATATATTATTCAGAGTCCTATTGTTCACATAAATCATGAAGTTGAAAATCCAGTGTTGATCCACATCTCTGTGTTTACCACACGAGTCTGGAGGAATAGGTCTGTTTTTCGTTAATGTTTCATCACTCCACACTCAGGTTTATAAAGTGTATTTGAGGAAGGTTAACAGCACCTACAGATATTCTCACCAAACTATTATGAAACATTTCCCAAAATATTCATACAAAGCTATGCTAATGACATGCACTGTATGACTACGGCCGTCAGCTAATTTAAACAATACAGTTGTGTTTGCGTTTGGTAAATCTTTGTGAGCCTCTCAGGAAGATAAAAAGTTAATCCGATGAGAAACGTTCGACTTTAAAGTTTGCTTGTATGATGGAAATCCTTGTCATCAATGTCATTAGTGGTATCCTCATGTCAGAAGAAGTGACAGTCATAGGGTTCGTCCCATGATGCTTCACTGCATCCAAAAACAAACAAAACCAAAACCCTTTTTCTTTTAAATCTCTGATTCTTTCGGGGAGGACTTTGGATCTCGCCCGGAAGTAGCCTGCTCATTCACTAAATCTGACGAACACTTCCTGTCTTTCCCTGCCTCCCCCTCCTCCTCCTCCTCGTCCCTGCTGATGAAGGCCAGCTCATTCTCGTAGCAGAAAGAGTTGGCACCAGATGTTAAGAATTTTCTCTCCTCCATGTCCTTGGCGCTGCATCTGGGGGTGGATGGTACCTCGAATGTTTTGTGAAAGTAGGCGTAGTCTATCCTGTACTGGCTCTTCTCCTCAAAGATGACCGGCTCAAAGCGGTGACCCCACAGGATCTCTGAGGCCAGGTACGAGCTGCGCGCCTGCGTCGTCATCGCCGTGGCCTCAACCAACCCTTCGAGTATGATGACTATTTCAAAGTCTGACGTTTCCAGATCTTGCTTACTGATGCCGAACAGCGGACTCTCTTCATCGATCTCATGTATGACGGTGAGAGGAGCAACCAGAAAGAGGCGGTCGGTGCCTTTGTCGTAGCCTACGTTCATGTCCATCTGATCCAGGGGGATGTACTCGCCTTCCTCTGTGAAGCGAGGTTTGACCAGCTGGGCTCGAACGTGAGCTTCTACTATATGGCTCTTCCTTAAATTAGCAACCCTGAACATGAGGCACAGTTTGCCGTCACGCAAAGCGATGACGGCGTTGTGACTAAACAGTAGAGTCTCCGCTCGCTTTTTGGGCCTCGCCATCTTGGCCATGATTGCACCGATCATGAAGGCGTCGATGATGCAGCCCATGATGGACTGAAAGACCACCATGAAGACGGCCGCCGGGCATTCTTCCGTCACACAGCGAGCGCCGTAACCGATGGTCGTCTGGGTCTCAATGGAGAACAGGAACGCCGCCACGAAGGTTCTGACCTCAGTGACGCACGGGACAAAACCGTCGTCCCCTGCTGGATGGTCCATGTCGCCATGGAGGAGCCCGATTACCCAGTATGCCAGGCCAAAGGTGAGCCAGGACACCACAAATGCCAGGCTAAACAGAAGGAACATGTATCTCCAGCGGATGTCCACACAAGTGGTAAAAATGTCAGATATGTACCGCTGCGACTTCTCGTCCATGTTGGAGAAATGGACGTTGCATTGACCAGTCTTGCCGACAAACCGGCTGTGGTATTTACGTCTGGTGTGAATCTTTCCATTGCCGAAGCTGCCGACAGCGGGCATGGCGCTGAGTCTCAGGCCTTCTTCTTCACAGGACGGGAAGCTGTGGTGGTGGTGGTGGTGTGCCCTTCCCACACTCATGCCTCGGAGGGGCACAGCCACGCGGCTTCAAACAGCCTGGCTCACACAAAACTGACCCGGCTCATGGGAAGGTTTACAGCTCTGTCCACAAACAGCCTCAGTAACAACTGGAATTGAGACGTGAGGAACTGAAGAAGTGGTCTGTGAAGGAGGGAAAGGTCAAATATTAGTATTCAACAATCTGCCACAGTGTCGATTCTGTGAAGAAAAAGTGCATCACCCTAAAGTTAAATATGAATAAATGTACCTGTGCTGAAACAGATCATAACAGTGCTGCATCATTTATCGCAATCATCCTTATCACAATATGTGCATACATAAGAAAACTCATCAATAACGTCATGATTTCAGGGTGCTGATGACCTAGCGGTTAGGTCGAGCCCCATGTATGGAGGCTACAATCCTCCAAGCAGACAACCTGAGTTCATGTATGACCTGTGGCTTCTATCCCACAAATCATTCCCCACTCTCTCTTCTGATTTCTGAATTATCCACTGTTTTTTTTTAGATACAAGTAGGGGGTGGAGCAACCACTGCTGTAAGGGATTCTTTATAACTTAATTTCTAATGACTTTATTATCATACATTTGATTTTCTGTTCTGCCTCCTTTATCTACTCTTGGCTGGAACACAGTGGTTTATACAATGTTATTCATGTTTCTCTGATCAACAAGGTACAGAAATAGCACGCTAATCCAATGCCCTGCCATTTTATGTGACGTATCTTCTGTTTCCTCCAGCTGGCAAGACTATTAGAAGCACTGGAGCGCTGAGATGAGGCTGTGATTCCCCTGAGAGGCAGAACTGGAAAATAATACGAGATGCAAAAGAGAGGCAGAACATTTGGCACCGCAGAGGAGACAGTCTCACATAGTAATGGTTTTATATCTAAGAATGAATTGCATTAGATCAGGGCCTTATGTGTTTAAAAAAAAGGGCCTTTATTCTGATCAGTCCGACTGCAGCTTTAAGAACATTCAGCTTGTTGATTATAGGAAAATAAGAAGTTGTATCTTCCAAATAGAACAAAAGCAAGATTTGATTTTACGTTTTCTTTATTGGCTTGTTGGCTCGGTAACTCCTAAATCCTTTAAATTACGGGAATCAAATTCTGATTTGAATAACCCGTTATATTATGAGTTCTAGGCTGCAGGGTGGTGCAGTGGTCACGGCGAGGAGGTTCCTGTTTTGAATCCCCGTTTGACAGGAGTCTCTCTGTGTGGAGTCTGCATGTTCTCCCCGTGCATTTGTGGGTTCTCTTCAGGTACTCCGGCTTCGTCCCACAGTCCAAAGACATGCTAGTTAGGTTAACGGGTGACTCTAAATTGCCTGTAGGTGTGAATGTGAGTGTGGCTGGTTGTCTGTCTCTAAATGTCAGCTCTGGGATTTGCTGGCCACCAGTTCAGGGTGTACCCCCGCCTCTTGTCAAATAACTGCTGGGATCGGCTCCAGCCCCCCTAAGACCCTGAATGGGACAAGTGGTATAGCTAATGGATGGATGGATTATGAGTTCTGTGTTCGATTTAAATAAATCTTGAATTCGCCTTTCCTAATATTCTGGCTACAAATACTTTTTATACCATCTTCACCAACTTAGCATCTTAGCTAACATTGGCCAATTAGCACCGAACAAACAGCACAGCTGATGAGCTCTTAGATCGTTTAGTCACAAACACAATATGCTGGACAGTTTGAAAATGAGTCTTGAAGATGAAGCTCAATGATCAGATTATTTTCAATCACTTAAAAACACGTTTCAACCTCCTGGTGGCGCTAGAGGAGAAGTCAGGACATCCCCAAAGTGTGCAGGAGTCAGTCTGGGAATCGTGGATGTCTTCATAAAATGTAATGTGAATCCATCACAGCGTTGAAGAGATGATTGGACACTACCATGCTTAGAATAAACTCTGACGGTCTGTTTTCTATATCTGTATTATGAACGAGCCTGAAACTCTGCAGATAAATCCGCTCCTTGTCGTTCAGCGCCGTGCTATGTTCATGTCTTTTTAAGCTGTAATTAGAGATGTTTCTTTACTGAGGTTTGACTTCTCTGTTTCTTTAAATGATTTCACAGGATCGTCTCGCTGACTCTGATGGAACTTCACTCATTTCAAGTATTAAAATCTGCCTCTGCCTCACTGTCACATTGGACTCAAGGAACTCAGAGGACAACACGTCAACCTAAGGTCAGCACAAGGTCAGCACAAGGTCACACAAGGTCACCTGTTGCTTCTGTTGATGTTTTACAGAATCAGAATCGGGTTTATTGCTGATAATGTTCACAAATACAAGTATTTTCTTTGTGTTTTTGGTAAAAATAAGACAGACAGATATAGAGCAGCATCACTCCTGCTGTCAGAAGGACTCAATAAGACAGAATAAACATTCAAATATGACAAACACTACCAGTCAAAGGTTTGGACACACAGCAGAAAGAGTAATATCAATAATACAGTTTACTATATAATTATGATATAGCTACTGTAAGCTGTATCTAGGGCACATCTACTAATAGAAGGTTTTCTTTATTTTTTCAATTTTACACATTTAAGAATAATAGTTTATATTAAAACAATAAAAACCAAAATATTTCAGTTTATTTTTATTTTGGAAAGAAATACATACATACGTGCAGAGGCGCTGCTTGTCAACAGGCAAGGCGGCCTAAAATGTGCAAATTTTGCAGACAGTTGGTAACCTTCCTAAGGGGGCCCCACCTGACAGCACTTGTTTGCCCTGCTGAATGTTGGTTAGAGGGCCCCAACAGGCTCTAGAATTGCCACTGCATACGTAGGCATCAACTGGCTCTGGCAAGACTAATAGAGGCACTGGAGCGCTGAGATGAGGCTGTGATTCCCCTGAGAGGCAGAACTGGAAAATAATACGAGATGCAAAAGAGAGGCAGAACATTTGGCACCGCAGAGGAGACAGTCTCACATAGTAATGGTTTTATATCTAAGAATGAATTGCATTAGATCAGGGCCTTATGTGTTTAAAAAAAAGGGCCTTTATTCTGATCAGTCCGACTGCAGCTTTAAGAACATTCAGCTTGTTGATTATAGGAAAATAAGAAGTTGTATCTTCCATATGAGTTTCAGCTAACCGTGTGGTATGAAGATATTAATTTACGTTATTCAGGTCGGTATTTTTAGTCCGTTCCAGCACAATAAGAACAAAAGCAAGATTTGATTTTACGTTTTCTTTATTGGCTTGTTGACTCGGTAACTCCTAAATCCTTTAAATTACGGGAATCAAATTCTGATTTGAATAACCCGTTATATTATGAGTTCTAGGCTGCAGGGTGGTGCAGTGGTCACGGCGAGGAGGTTCCTGTTTTGAATCCCCGTTTGACAGGAGTCTCTCTGTGTGGAGTCTGCATGTTCTCCCCGTGCATGTGTGGGTTCTCTTCAGGTACTCCGGCTTCGTCCCACAGTCCAAAGACATGCTAGTTAGGTTAACGGGTGACTCTAAATTGCCTGTAGGTGTGAATGTGAGTGTGGCTGGTTGTCTGTCTCTAAATGTCAGCTCTGGGATTTGCTGGCCACCAGTTCAGGGTGTACCCCCGCCTCTTGTCAAATAACTGCTGGGATCGGCTCCAGCCCCCCTAAGACCCTGAATGGGACAAGTGGTATAGCTAATGGATGGATGGATTATGAGTTCTGTGTTCGATTTAAATAAATCTTGAATTCGCCTTTCCTAATATTCTGGCTACAAATACTTTTTATACCATCTTCACCAACTTAGCATCTTAGCTAACATTGGCCAATTAGCACCGAACAAACAGCACAGCTGATGAGCTCTTAGATCGTTTAGTCACAAACACAATATGCTGGACAGTTTGAAAATGAGTCTTGAAGATGAAGCTCAATGATCAGATTATTTTCAATCACTTAAAAACACGTTTCAACCTCCTGGTGGCGCTAGAGGAGAAGTCAGGACATCCCCAAAGTGTGCAGGAGTCAGTCTGGGAATCGTGGATGTCTTCATAAAATGTAATGTGAATCCATCACAGCGTTGAAGAGATGATTGGACACTACCATGCTTAGAATAAACTCTGACGGTCTGTTTTTTATATCTGTATTATGAATGAGACTGAAACTCTGCAGATAAATCCGCTCCTTGTCGTTCAGCGCCGTGCTATGTTCATGTCTTTTTAAGCTGTAATTAGAGATGTTTCTTTACTGAGGTTTGACTTCTCTGTTTCTTTAAATGATTGACTCGCTGACTCTGATGGAACTTCACTCATTTCAAGTATTAAAATCTGCCTCTGCCTCACTGTCACATTGGACTCAAGGAACTCAGAGGACAACACGTCAACCTAAGGTCAGCACAAGGTCAGCACAAATTCTAGAGGGAGAGTTGTTTTTCTCTGAGTGACGACCTGTTGCTTCTGTTGATGTTTTACAGAATCAGAATCGGGTTTATTACTGATAATGTTTACAAATACAAGTATTTTCTTTGTGTTTTTGGTGTTAAAAAAGTATCTGAGGTAAAAATAAGACAGACAGATATAGAGCAGCATCACTCCTGCTGTCAGAGGGATTCAATAAGACAGAATAAACATTCAAATATGACAAACACTACCAGTCAAAGGTTTGGACACACAGCAGAAAGAGTAATATCAATAATACAGTTTACTATATAATTATGATATAGCTACTGTAAGCTGTATCTAGGGCACATCTACTAATAGAAGGTTTTCTTTATTTTTTCAATTTTACACATTTAAGAATAATAGTTTATATTAAAACAATAAAAACCAAAATATTTCAGTTTATTTTTATTTTGGAAAGAAATACATACATACGTGCAGAGGCGCTGCTTGTCAACAGGCAAGGCGGCCTAAAATGTGCAAATTTTGCAGACAGTTGGTAACCTTCCTAAGGGGGCCCCACCTGACAGCACTCGTTTGCCCTGCTGAATGTTGGTTAGAGGGCCCCAACAGGCTCTAGAATTGCCACTGCATACGTAGGCATCAACTTCACTATTTCTATTTATATAAGAAACACATGTCAAACATTTAAACATAAGCCTTTAGATCAAAATGTCTTTAAGATAATAACTTGTGTCCAAACATTTGACTTCCACTGTATAAGATAAGATGCATGACAGCAGCATAGAGAAAGGACAGCCAAAACAAGATCATACAGTGCACAACGAAATAATGAAGGAGCCGACACAGTAGATCATTTCAGCCCGCTTTATCATGATAACTACTACACTACGAAATTAAAAATGTTATAAAATATGTGAAATAGGAGTAATAATTAGACCGAACAGTAACGCAGGAAGGTAATTATAGTCTTGGTGGATGTTGATTATTGTTTGTGATTTGGGACGCACATAAGAGAAATCCCTAAAAACACCAAAAATAAAGCACCTTATCGTTTATAATGTGGAGCTATGAAGGGATTGGAGTTTGAATTTAATTTAAAATCTGTGAATGGAAAAACAAACACAACCCAAGTGGTGTTTCTACCGCACGCTGATACCCTGCAGAACGGGTAACGAGACAGCAGGTCACGTCAACAAGTAGAAGATGGATTCTGTTTACAGTTTCTGTTCCGATTCAAATCGACATTTTTAAGACCTCAGACTCCATAGTGACTTTTTTCTTTTTTGAGTAGTTATGTATGCTGGTGTGTGTGCCTGTGCGTGTGTGTGCCTGTGTGTGTGAGTGTGTGTGTTCCTCAGTGCTCTAGTTGCTAGGAAGCAGTACTCTGGGTGTCCAAAGGATATTAATATCTGATATTCTGTGTGACGGCTCCTCGGCTCTCTCAGGAGCCACACTTTGCCTGCTGGGCTGTGATCTGAGTGCTCGGGCAGAGATTAGTCGACTTCCCTGCCAAAGAACTGAACCATTTCAACATTTAAACTGAACACACACACACTCCACAAGCCAGAGAATCAGTTTAAATGTTTCCGTCTAAAATCAGAAACAACTCACCTCGTGTGCAAGGGCTCCCAACTTTTGCTTCCTTTGAGATCTCCCAGTTTTTTAGCCAAACTGCTAACTGCTAATATTTCTCCTCAGGCTTCCTTTAATTTCTCTTATGCATCTTTCTCTTCTTGTGCTCTTCGGTGCTTCTGATGGCTCCTCTCTCCTCTTATGGGTAGAACCACTCTTTCCTCCTGAGGCAGAAAAGTAAGCGTCCCCAGTGCACCTTCATGTCTTTGCCTCCGAGTTTAAACACGTCTCTTTCCCCCCTCAGCAAGGAGAGCATAACAATCACACACAATCAAGTCCTCCAAAAGTTACTCCTCCTTAGATATCCAGTCGATCAGAAACACACTAGAGTCAGAAAATGACTTCAGTACAGCAGTGAAGCCTTGTTTTGACCCTCGACGTCTTGATCACAGCGATCCCAAATTAAATGTGTGTGTGGCTCACGTGAGCCGTGGGGTCCGATCCAATCAAAAAATCGATTCCTCAAAGCTTATTTTAGAGTCATATGCAGTCAACAGTCTCTCACTTTCTTGGTAGATGTGCTATCTGATCTTGCTCTGCTGCAGATCCCACTCTGTATCCCACATCCAGTGAACTATTGCTCACTGCTCAGCTCTCGTCCTCCCCCTCCCTCTCACCGTGTCACTGTAGAAACTTGGCATTTGGAGACTACATGCTTCTCCCCCGACCAAGTGTTGCTCCAGCGCTGGTCAGCAGTGCAAGAGTTGAAGGAACCAAGTGGTTTATTCAGGACTGACCTGTACCCCAGAGACCAACTTCTCAAATGGATTTCTCTGATAAGGTTAAATTATTCTTTGAGGAATGGAGAACACCTCTGCATTTCTTAACACCTCAATCAGAATGACACTTTGGGCTCATTGGCTAGAACGGTCCAGTGAATCGACCCATAACAGAAGAAAATATGGAAACAAAGGAGTGATCAAACAATCTTTAATACAGGACCATACTCTGAATAAATTCTTTATTTTCTGAGAGTATCAGAGAGATCACACTTATCCAGAAAGAAAAGGGACTCCAGATGAAAGACCCCAGACTTTGAATTGCTGTAACATGGTCGTCGTGAATGTTTATATTTTGGGGCACTGGATAGTAGTGTTGTAGTCAAGACCAAACTCACCGAGACTAAGGAAAACTCGAGACCTAAGTGCTCCGAGACCAAGACAAGACCAAGACATTTAGGGATCGAGAATCTGTCAAGACCAAGACCATGGCAGGGTGAGACCAAGACCATAAATATCACTAAAATATCATCTTGTGTGTAGTGGGCGTGTCACTCACTTGTTTTTTTTACCTCTGGTAAAAAATTATGAATGAATCCCAGAAATTCATTGCGTTTTCCTTTTTATCACAGTAATGATGCAGAAAAAAAGCCGGCCACTAGTGGTCGTGACCCGTCTTGATTTATAATCCGGAGTCCGCCCAGTCCGAGACCGAGACAAGACTGAGTAAAAATAATTTCAATTCCGAGACAAGACCTTCAAAAAGTGGTCCAGAGACCAAGCTAGCGCCCCAGGTATGGAGGCTTTGGTCCTTATCGCAGGGTCTATGGGTTCAAATCCAATCTCGGCCCCTTTGCTGCATTTCATTCCAACGCTCTCTCCTCCCGATGTTTTCTGTCTCTAGGCCTAAAAATGTAACTTAAAAGAAAAATGTCATATTTTGATGCTTTGTGTGTTTTCAAACGATATAATCTGTTAATATAATGATGGACAGTTTTGACCCTTTAAAAACGTGACCGAAAGCTGCTGTGAGAGAAAGAGAATGCAGCGGTCGTTCGTCAGGTTCGTCTTCTGGACTGCGTGAACAGAAACACAAGCGACACAGGATTCAATCTTAAAACTGTCCAGACACCTGAGACTGACCAAAAGACAGACGGACGCTTCCCTCCATAGAGCAGCTCGCCAGATTTAAACAGCACGCCTCGGCATGGGAGTTTTGTAATTCTTTGTGTTTGTTTCACAAGTCAGAAACCGGATCAGTTTTTTTCCAGTACCGGCCTGACCCAGATTCACAAGAGGCCATCGCGGAGACACGCCTTGGGTGGAAGGTGTGTGTCATGCTGCAAAATGTCGGCCTCCAAAGAAGCTAAGCCGTGAAAGTCGGAGTATCAGTTTTCTGATTTTAAAAGGGAAACAATATTTGACCTATGTGGGGGCGTTCGTGCTGTTGGGTGTGGTTACAAAAGCAGTGAGACTGGAGATATCTTCACAGGAGGACAAGTGTGCACATTAACTGAATATGCACATTAACTTCACAATTGTAAATGTTGATAGGGTAACTAAATCCATTACTTTTTGGGGAGTCTGTCAGATTCTCGGCCTCTCACTTTTTAAAAAAAAAATGTCTGTTTATCCACATCGTCATCTTTGTTCTTTTCTTTGTTTAAAGTGCAACTTTTTCCATGAACACAAATGTGTTCCCAACAGCTGAAAACAACGATCTGACCTTCAGTGATTCAAATCTCTGTCAAACTGTAAATCTTCTTTAAAGATTTATTTTTGGGGTTCCTCTGTACATGGGGTGCGCTCACCAACCACCAGGCTACCAGCGCCCCAATCAGACTGTAACTTTAATTAAGGGCTGTGACTATATGCAAATATTAAACTTCTATATGATACCATGGCAACAAAAATAGAATTTCGATGCGCTCGATGTTCGGTTATTTTTTGTCTTTAATTATCAGAAATTGTCTAAATGTCCAAACCTTTGTGACATTTGGGACATCTAGAAAGTGTGGAAGAGTTTACTGACTCTTTCCTCTACTATACACCTGTTTTATGAACAACCTGTTCACCCCGCTGTAAAGACTTAAACGTACGTTTTGCATCTTTCTGAAACTTCAAAAGGACTCGAGAAACGTCAGTATATTTGCAAACATGTGATTTTGAGTGAACCACCGCTGCTCTCTGTTTCACTCTCAGCAGACTTTGTTTAAAACATGACTTTTTTTAAAGCCGCTGCACTAAAATCGTACGTAATCTCAGCAGAGATTGTGTGTGTATGTGTTTGTATATGTGTGTGTGTGCGTTGTTTTGTTTCCTTAAAGCAGCACTGTGATACTTTTACCATACTGTTACAGTGATGTCAGGCCTGTAAATGGGTCATGGGTCCAGTCAGTGATGGCAGACCAGATGGGGACGTGCAGTGTGCTATCGGGTCGATAGCTCCTCGTACCCGGGCAAGTTATTTAAAGGTCGCCTTACTGCGGCACCACAAAGTGGGCCAGACCCGACCAGACTCAGGAGACGAGCTGCAGCGTTTGATCACCTTTCACATAATCAGCACACTCTTTAATTAATTCAAGTATTATATCATGAAGTGGTCACAGGAAATTTAAGTAAATGCAAAGGATGGAAGCGTCTCTGCTGAAGGCTTCAGGAACAGTCGTCCCTCGATTAACCAACTCTTACTTACTGAATTTTAGGTTTTATATACCAGAAAAAAAATGTCTCACTATCTCATAACAGAAGCTAGTTTCCTGCAAAAGCCTCCAACAGAATGGTTGCGCCTGTCAGTGTAACATAGCAGTGATCACGGAGGAGAGAAAGAAGAAACAGGAACACTGTAGAGAAAGTCTCTGTTGGCAGCCAACACCGACAAAAAACAACCTGAGTGGGGAGGAGAGGCGTTGTGCACCCACCATACAGAGAGAAAGGCTGCATGTACACAACTTACAGGACTTTTTTTTAGGGTCCTTTTCACAAACCTGATGCTCCAGATTTAAAATATGCTTCAGACCGGACTGATGAACATCCCGCCTCGCTGTGACAACGTACTCTCACCTTATCTAAAGCTTTCCTGTGAGTCGACATGTGCATTAAATCAAAAATGATAATCACACAGGTCTGTTATTCTACCTTCTACAAGGGGAAAGTTGTGATTTATTTCTCCTTGAAAGCCTCTGTGAGTTTTACAGGAACAATATAGTTCAGGTTTATTGTCATGTAAACAATGTCAGTCTGTTTGTGCATTATCCTCGTTCTTTTTTAGACCTGTCTCTGACTGCTTCAGAGAGGAAAAAACATCTCAACAGTGAATTAAAAATGTTGATCCATTACAAGTTAGCTTTAGACTCAGACCTAAAAGAGGTGACACTTAATGGATTGTGTGTCTGGTTATCGTTCATGTCTGTTTCTGTTCCTGCATCAAGCGTCTCTTTCTGTTTCTGACATTTCTGAGAAGAGTAATCTGTACTAAAGTGCTTCCCCAAATCTCCAACGGCCTCATCATCTTCGTGCCGAGGCCGATGTTGCCAAACTGCGGTTGTTGCCAAACTTATATTTATCTTAGGTGAACAACGTAGGATTAATCCATTGTCATGGAAACACTGTCAAATTTGAGTTTTAACAAACACATCGCATGTAGGTCACACGCCTCTGGACCTGATTTTGTAACACTGTCCGTGATCCAACTCAAATTGGAAATAAAAATAAACACGCATGAAGCTCTTTGGTTTTCCCACTGGCTTGAAAACACAAACATTGATGTGAATCACACGTGCGCTCCGATCAGAGCTGCATCAGTGCTGGTTGCAGTAATCGATCTTTGCATGACTAAATGGGTCACTTATTTTTTTCGCGGGCTGAGCAGGTGCACCTGCGTAAACCAGTGTTTCTACATCAGCTGCTAATCAGTCATGATGTTCTGGAGCGTTTGTGGGGCGGCTGAACAAACTCTGCAGGTGCATGAGGAAAGCACTCCACACTCAAAGCAAAGCAGAAACTAACTGAGAGAAGTTAATGTTTAAGAGAAATCCACCAGAATCCCCTTCTTCAAATCCATTTAATGAAGCTACAATCAGAGTTATGTCATATACAAGATGTAAACAGGCGGGATAATAACCCTGAACACGATGATCGTTAGGTGGCTCAGTGGTAGAGTCAGTCGTCTCTCAACTGGAGAGTCGGAGGTTCAATCCCCAGCTCCTGCAGTCACATGTCAAAGTATCCTTGGGCAAAACACTGAACCCCAAATAGCTCCCGTCGCTGTGTTGGTGGTGAAAGTAAATCGAATATGAGACTTCAAAAAGGAAGAGCCCGAAGTGGCCGGTTCAATCAGAAAAACTGTTTAAAATCCACATAGACTATTTTACAGTGCGTACGTTCTCGTGTGTGTAACTCATACTGTTACAGTGATGTCAGTGTCAGTGATTGATGCACGCATGAAAAAGATAAACAAGCAAATCTTCAAGTTTGCTTACTTCATGAGGAATCGATCGTCTTATTGACTTCTCACTCACCAAACGGATTCAGCTGTTGTCAAACTGTAGTCGCCCTTTTCCCGAGTTTAAACCACATCCTACTTCATTTAGGATTATTTTGTCAAACTAACATTCCCACCATCCAAACAGAACTTTCATGCACACAAAATAGTTTGCACTCCCCTTGTCCAGTCCAGCTTTTCTATAACACGCTAAACATTTGACCTGCAGGATGAAAAAGTGCAGAAATGTTGTTTTTGTTATATTCAAATGGTCGCAGTCACCTAGAAGAAGCTAAAACGGTTTCCGACTTCTGTCCATGATGGAAAACATGAAGAT